AAAGTCCCAGAAGTTGGACATGGAGCTACTGGATTGGGTGTTTGTCCTGCTGGTTTTTGGTCTTGTTTGGTCCGGTATTTCCTTACTATGCCTCCATTCCTCCCTTTCGGAATGATAATGTGTATTCGGTTCCACTGTATATTGGGAGTATGTAATTTGTCTTTTGATTTTATAGAGGCTTACAGTTAAGATATTTACCTGAATTCACTTTGGACTGTGGACTTTTGAATAGTGTTGAGACTGATAATGACTATGGGGACTTTTAAAGTTGAACTACCCATGCTCTTTCAAGTAACCCCAATAAGTTAATTGGTTTTCCCCACTGGACTCTGGTGGAACATCTATTCTGGTTTGTCATTGGTTCCTTGTCTGCAGGAAATAAACATTTGTTCACATGTCCACAAAAGTAGTCACACAAAAATCACTGTGGGGGGTTGAATGAAAATGTGCCCCATAGGCTCCAAGTGTTTCGATATTTTGTCCCCAAATGATGGCGCTGTTTTGGGAGATTTTAGAAGGTGTGGCTATCCTGGAGGAATCACGTCACTGGGGGTGGGCTTAGAGAGTTCTTAAGCCTTGCCAGATCTCCAGTCTCTCTCTTGCTTCCTGTGCCTGTGTGATGATATGAGAGCTTAGCTTCTGCTGCTCCTGTTCCAGCCACCTCCAGCCACCATGCCTCCCTGCCATGATGGACTGTAATTCCCCTGGGACCGTAAGCTCAAATAAGCTCTTCCTTCTGTAGATTACTTGGGTCAGTGTTTCTGTCATAGCAACAGAAAAGTGACTAATACATATCTCTTTCGCATACCTTAGTCACTGCAATCCCCCAAATCCATCTCATGTTAGAATCAAGCATCCAGCCCCCATTTTTTCCCCCCAGAATCAGGACCCAGCATGCTCTACCCCCTGAGTTTGAGATGTACCTGGCTCTTCCTTCTGTAGATTACTTGGGTCAGTGTTTCTGTCATAGCAACAGAAAAGTGACTAATACATATCTCTTTCGCATACCTTAGTCACTGCAATCCCCCAAATCCATCTCATGTTAGAATCAAGCATCCAGCCCCCATTTTTTCCCCCCAGAATCAGGACCCAGCATGCTCTACCCCCTGAGTTTGAGATGTACCTGCTACTACCACTTCTGGCTCTTCCCTGCCTGCCTCCGGCCAGTGTCCCCTCTGCTCCCTGCCTGCCTCCTGGTCTATCTCAGCCGTTCCATTCTTCAGTCCTGCCTGTCATATACGGCTCTGGGGGAGGTTTTGTACAGTGCACTCAGCTCCCTATGAGCCTCTGTATTTCCCTTGGGGTAGCGTCGAGCATACCGTGTATCTGTTTAGTTAGGGTCTGTGGCCTCTGACAGGCTCCGCTCTATGAAGGCAGAGATGGCATCTTCAGGACAACAGTGGCATCTGGTGTGTGCTCTGTAGAAACTGTTGCTAAATAGATGAGAATGTGGATCTCTGCTCTGAAACTCAGTGCTGGGGAGGTGGGGAGGCTGGAGGTGCCAGGGCAGGAAGAGCAGCACTGGGTTAGCTGGGCTTGTGGGGAGCTCTTCCTTTGGCTTTCCTGTGGTTTTTGTTTTGAGACAGGGTCTCACTATGCAGCCTGAACGCACCATGTAGACCAGGCTGGCCTGGAACTCACAGAGGTCTGCCTGCTGGGATTAAAGGGCAGATGCCACCACACCCAACTCATCACAGTCCTGGAGAAAGCCTGGAGCCCTGGTATAGAGGAAGGACCAAGTCACATCCATCCCTTGTCATCCTCAATGGCAAAGACCTTGGAAGCTTGTTGGGAAACTGCCAGCTCAGAGTCTGGTCCTCATCAATAAACTTTACATTGTTTATGCCCATCACCTCAGCCTTAAGAGAGAGACAAGGCTTTCGTGTGGACTCTTATGTTAACTTCTAGCATGGTCCTAAGCAAGTAGTCACTGAAGTCTGTACGTTAAGTCGTTTATTAAATCCCCAGGTCTTTGTTTCTTCCACTGGCATTTTGGTAGTGTTTTAAGACTCTGTCATGGAACCCAAAGTTAGGGGGTTTTGTTTTGCTCTAAATAGTCTGTCCTTAAATTTCAAAGTTTCAGAAGGTTCTTTATTGTCATTATTAAACTCTTCCTTCATGAGCTAATGAAAATTAAATGACATTTAAAACTTCTTGTAATTCAGACTTTGAGGGGTTTAAAGGCAGAATACAACCATCCATTGCTTTTTATGGTCTGTGATGACACAGCCTTCCTGTGAGTGCAAAAGAGAGCAGACATCATTTCCAAAGCTGAGTATCTTGGGCCTTGTCCTGGTTTGTTCTTCATTGCTATGACAAAATACTCTGACCAATACCAACTTGGGGAGGAAAGGGTTTATTTGTCTTACATCTCCCAGGTCGCAGTTCATCAGGGAGCCCAAGGTAGGAACTCAGGGCAGGAGCTGGAGCACAGGCCATGGAGGAACGCTGCTTACTGGCTTGCTCCCCTGGCCCCTGTTCAGCCTGCTTTCTTATGCAATACAGGCCCACCTGCCCAGGGGTGGCACCACCCACAGTGGGCTGGGCCCTCCCACATCACTCATCAAAAAGATGCCCCTCAGACATTGCCACAGGCCAGTCCACATTTCCCCAATTGAGGCTCCCTCAACCCAGGTGTTCCTCAACCCAGCACAGGCCTTGATGGGGAGTAAGGCTAAGTGTTTCACCCCATAGAAGTATGAATTGAAATTTTTCTTTGAGAGTGAGTGGTTTAAAGGGGAGAGTCTAATTAGAAAGAAGATCTTAGACTCTTAGACTGGCCTATATTTTGCTTTTTATTGATTGTTTTGTTCTCAAATTTGTCTAATGGTCTTTCTCTGTAGTTTCATATTTGCATTTCACACTAACGATGTCAGTTTTACTAAACGTGAAGTTAAAAACGCGTGATTCTTGCATACCATTAAATATACTCTATTTTATCATGTAGTTGTAAAGAAGAAAGTAAAGGAAAATTCTTGGTCTAACATTTGGCCTAAGGGAGGCTGTATGGCCTCAGACATCAGGCTCTCTGTTTATACATTTTGCACAATTTCCAAATAATTTTAATTCCCTGGATTCTGACCTGGAAGCCGCCTTCCCTGAAGGCTGTTAAGAGCTTTGGAGAGCACTACGCACGCTGCTAAGGGAAGACATCGTCTGATGGTCCAACCCCAGCTTCAAGGCCTAAAAACTGCATCAGTGAGCAGCACAGTGTTGGTGCAGTAGTGGCACTTTTATCCTGGGGATAATGAATAGCTACCTAATTGGACTTAAAGCCTACTCTTTGGGAGGAAACTCGTGTGGTACTGCAAACCTAGTCAAATACTCATAGCTGGAGACATCATAGATCTTAAAACCCCAAGGCTGTCACATTCCTAGACAAATGTGATTTCTTACTTTGTACAAAATATGGATCCTTAAATTTACAGACAAGTATCCCAGTCACAACCCATCAAAGGAGCGTCCTTTACAACAGACAGAGATTATTACAGAGTTCCACAACTGGTCACACACAGAGATTCTCTGTGAATTGCCCAAGTCTAAGTGGCACATCCAGGATGCAACCTCTACATCTAAGGCTCACAGAACGTAGAACAAGGGATGAAGAGAACACTAATGATCTTTCAGTTCTCATCAATGAAGCTCCTCATGCAACAGAGGGCCAGGAACACAAAAGGTCTCAAATGGCCAAAATATAGAGAATAAGAGTCTACAGAGTGTAGGTCCTTGGACAGGACTCCTATATTACAATCCATGGCTCAGGGACCATTGTGGAAGAGGGGATGGAAAGATTGTGAGAGCCAGGGAGGAGGTGCATGACCATGCAGAAATAAGAGTCCTATAGGCTCCTGGGACTCTTCACATACAAGCCTACAGCAGTGGTGTCAGCTTGCACAAGACCCATGCGAACTTAGGCAGACAGAACTGTGGAAATGAACAGCAAGCCCCAGTCTTAGTCGAAGAATTATTGGCGGCTGATTACTGCTGGGTGAGGAAGAGCTGATCTTAAGGGGGGACTCTAGATAGGCTGTCTAGACCCCAGTGGATGAACTTGCACTGAGGAACATCTGGGGACGCTGACTTGACATGATAGGCAAATAAATGACAGAATGTGTGAACTCCAGTGCATGAGGGGGGTGCTATGGGTGGATGTCAATGGGGAAGGGACATAAAGATGACAGGATTGATTGAGATGTTCTGTACGAACACACAAAAAATGAGAAATTAAAAATATGTATCAAAAGACCAGAGAAGTCATGTCATAACGAACTAGAGAATCATCTCTACATGTGCATTGGAACACGGAGATACTATGCCCAGGCCGGGGCAAAGGAGAGAAAAGGCAGGGACGCTGAAAGAACTGACCGCCAAAACAGAAATCCAGTCAGTTTCTCGGCTGCAGTCTTAAATTACAATATACCGATGATAGCTCTATTTCAAAAAACATTTCTCATAAAATGTAATTCTGAGACAATAAAAGGAGACTAGATGCTACCTCAAGTGTTCCTGACTTATTTGTTTCATCCGATCTCCATGGTTATGATTACAATGTGCCCATTGATTTACATTATTGATGTGACCACAGATGGTGATGATACAGGTTGACGTAAACGGGCACTAAGCTCAATACTTTAGCTGTCACTGGCTCCCTGTTGCACAGAGTTTGTCAGAGTGAAATAGAATCGTAGCATTGCAGAGCTAGAAGAGTCCTTGGAGGCTCCTCCAGTCCCTCACCCGACAGATGAGGAAGCAGATGCCCAGAGAGCTTCTTGCCAAGGCTGTAGAGCTAGTGGCCAAGCTCAGCTGGAGCCTAGGTCTGCTGTTGCCCAGCTTAGTGCTGCCCTGCCATCTCTGTGAGGCTTTTTAGGTGATATTCTCTCTAATCACTCCCTGACATCAGCACCAGTTATTAATCAATTTCCTATTTATTCATTTCTGGAACACACAGTTTTATCTCCTGAGTCTCTGTTGGTTAAACTTCCTATTTGGCTTTCTTTTAGGTTGGTCTCCACGCATGCTCATCTTTTTAATCCTGAAGCTCTCAGAATACACCTGGACCTACCACTCTGCCCACCAGAAGCTGTGCTCTTGTTCAACATAGCCGCATTTGAGTTTTTCAAGTCTGAACAAGACTTTTCTCTGATTTTCCCATGAAGCCCCGTCATTGCCTGTTCATCTTAGTGATGATCACTGCTGCACCAGCTGCTCTGGTTGGGGAGGACGTGGCCCTGCTGGGAGCAAATCAGACTTCTTACAATGCATCATTTCTCCCAAGCTTTGAACTCTCAGCAGGCTCCCACTCAGGTGCTGATGTCATCATAGCCAAGGAGGGAACGAGCGTCTCCCTGGAGTGTCTTCTCACCATCAGCCCCTATGCCGATGTCCACTGGCACAATTCCAAAGGCCAGCAGCTGGATGGTAGAGGTAATCCTGTCATGGTACAGTCAGGATTGCTCAGACATACTCTTTCTTTGAGGGGTGTGACAGATTAACAAAGTCTGCAAGACGAGATGTTGGGTGAATACTTTTAAAGGGAACTGGGGATCCAGCTCAGTGGAGCCAGGCACGCTCACCGTCAGGTCATTTTTTTCTAATCCCTTCCTTAATTTACTTGGAAACAACACTTTCTCTTCCAGTGATGTCGTTGAGAATAAAGGCCATCAGGCCTGACGATCTGAGTTCAGTCCCTGAGACCCACATGCTAGAAGGAGAGAACTGACTCCCAGAAGTTGTCCTCTGACCTCCACGTATACAGCAGGACATGTGCGCCCACACACGCATAAGTAAAAATTAATAAAAGAATTGCACAATGATAATTCAGCCAGGGCTTACTTTTCAGTGGGTTCTTATTCTATCTGTTCTCCATGAGTCTGTTAATTTCCTTGATCTAGACTGCTAATGCCTTCACTAATATTGTGTTAGATCTTTGATGAGTACTTAATTACAAAGTACCTCAAAGGGGAATTTTTTTTGCCTCAGTCAAGGGTGATAGATAAAGGTCAGCACTGAGCAGAGTGCTCATTTTCGAAAATATAAACATCATATGGCCTCAAAAGGGAATTATAAGAAGCCCAAAGAGGAGGATAAAATTCTAGGATCTCCACAAGCTAAACTTTAGAAAAACCCTCCTTCTGGCAAGTATCACCCCTTACAATGTAAAGGAATTGGTTATTCAAATTAAGGTAGAAAACAACAGAAGTGCTGTTTCCTTCTCAAGAGTACACTGAGGGACGGCTGCAGTTCGTGCTACAGTCCTCGCCTGGCGTGGGAGGCCTGGGTCTGGTCTCCGTTACCACGCCACACACACGGGGACTTTCTCAGCCTCTCTTCCCGTTGCTGTGATAAAACACTGGCAGAAGCAACTTAGAGAAGAAAGGGTCTATTTGAGCTGACAGTTCCGGATTCCATCACTGCAGGGACATCAGGGCTCAGGCCTGGCACAGCTGGTCAGACAACATCACAGTCCAGGGCAGAGAGCAAGGAGTGCAGGCTCCATTTCTCCCCCTGTGCGCGAGGGTGCGTACGTGTGTGTAAAGCATTTGAACCTTCTACAGGCTAAAAGCTGGTCCTGTAGAATTGAGGAGTTTAGATTGTTAGAACAGGGTTTTTTTAATATTTTATTTATTATCTTTATTTTATGTGTATGAGCGTATTGTCTGCATGTATGTGAGTGTGCCCGTGTTGTGCAGTGCCGCGGAGGTCAGAAGAAGGTGTCAGATCCCCTGGTACTGGAATTACAGATGGTTGTTAACCACCATGTGGGTGCTGGGAATTGAACCTGGGTCCTCTGCAAGAATAGTCAGTGCTCTAACTGCTGAGCCATCTCTCCAGCCCAAAACACAGGGTTTTTAATCAGCTTATCAACGACAGTATTAGGTCAGAGTCTCCAGAGTGATGACCACGAGTACCCCGAACCTGATGGAACGTCTAAACTTCAGCCAACTAGGCTAGACTTCCTGTCCTCTGAGCTTTGGCATGTCCTGAAGAAGCGTGTCTAAGGCCTGCATTACTCAGCGTGATCAGCACAGGCTGCTGTGTAAACAGAGGCTTGGGGAGGGCAGAGCAGCCCTTGGAGTGGTAGCTTCCTTCCCGGTTCCCCTTACTTTGGAAACCACTACATCTGCCATGGCTGCTTTCGGCAGCAGCTATGGGAAGTTGTATTAAATGTTATGAATCCCTAGTGAGAGGCCTGGACAGAGCGTGTCAGTCCAGTATCGGGCTCATCAATCCTGAGCTGTTACCAGCACGTGTGCCGCAGTACACTGTGGCTGACTGGGGTGGCTCATTAATGGAGTCTCTGCACTTTGTCGCTTGATTCAAAGGGTGTCCTTTTCATGGAATAGAAACTTAGGAGACGACTGTGTCCCCAGCCGAGAATCTTCTTCCTCCTTCCCATTCGTGAGGTGGTGGCTCCTAACAGTAATGATCTGTGGACCCCAGGTCAGTTTTGATGGTGGTAAAAATGGGCACAGCCCAGAGTGTGCGTCATGTTTGTCCTAATTTAATCCAGAATAACAGAATCTTGAGGAAGGTGCTATGAAGATTAGCAACCAGCCCCTGGACCACTGCCTCTGATCATTGGTGGCCCACTCATCGAGTTAGCTCATCCATTCCATCGTCAGTGGCTTTCACTTTAATGCACAGAGTTCTCTGGGAGTTTGCCTCAGAATATTATTGCCCAGGCAGAGCCAGGTTACTACAGGATCCTGTGGCATAGATGCCCAGTGGGCTTCTAGGCTTGGCCTACCTGTCCAGAAAAGGAAAATCCCTTCAAGTGAGGGCGAGAAGCAGGTGTTTTGGGTTTGAGACTGGAGCCTAGTTGTTTTAAGGGGACTTACGTCCCACTGACAAGCTGTTCCTTTCCCTGACTTGTGAGATGCCTCTTTTTGCCTGTGTTTCAGTTAGGCTTGTCCAACAATTAAGAAAGCAAACCTTTCCTAACAAAACAGGCTAACACGAGCGAGCGAGAGAGCGAGGCATGCCAGGTTAGCCAGTCAGCAGTCAAAACCGTGCATTAAATTGCTGGATGCTTTAACTGTTATTATTACATGTATTTGTGTGTGTGCACATGTGTATGCATGTGCACACAGGTATGGACATGTGTATGGAGGTCAAAGACAGATTGGAAGAGTCAGGTCTCTTACTCTACCATGTGAGTCCTGAGAATTGAATTCAGGTTGTCAGGCTTGGTGGTAAGGGCCTTTCCGGCTGAGCCAGCTCCTGGCCTATGCCAGGTGCTTTTTTAAAAAGAACTTCCATATCTTGTGTAAGTTCATAATGAAAGGCAAGACTCAGTTCAGTAAAAATAAAATAAAAATGTACAGTCCAACATCCATAAGTAAACATTGCTTTCTATTTCTGAGACACCCTGCTCATACATAAGCTATGTAGGTAGAGACTGTGTAGACTCCACAGATATGTAGAAGTGTGTTTTAGAGCTTGGTCATTTGGTTCTGTTCATACACATCCTTCCCCCTGGAAGACTTGGCGTGTAGTGGTGAAAGGGGGGTGGCCGTGACTAGTGCCAGAAGTCCACGTCTTTACGCCCAGGCTCTGGACAAGCAGCGGCCTCTTACCTTGCAGCCTTTATGAAAAGGTGGGGCAGTGGTAAGGAGCTGCCTCTTTGGCAATTTTCTTTCATTTCTGTTGAATTTTTCCAGGTGGAAAATGGTCAGTTTCTGATAACTTCCTCAACATCAGCAGCGTGGCCTTCGATGACCGTGGGCTCTACACATGTGTGGTCACCGCTCCAACTCGTGCCTCCTACTCTGTCACCCTGCGTGTGGTCTTCACCTCAGGAGACATGAGTGTCTACTACATGATTGTCTGCCTGATCGCCTTCACGGTCACGCTCATCTTGAACGTCACGAGGCTGTGCCTGATGAGCACCCATCTGCGCAAGACCGAGAAGGCCATCAATGACTTCTTCAGAACTGAGGGCGCTGAGAAGCTCCAGAAGGCCTTTGAGATTGCGAAGCGCATTCCCATCATCACCTCAGCCAAGACCCTAGAGCTCGCCAAAGTCACGCAGTTCAAGACCATGGAGTTTGCCCGCTACATAGAAGAACTGGCCAGAAGCGTCCCTCTCCCACCCCTCATTCTCAACTGCCGCGCCTTCGTTGAGGAAATGTTCGAGGCTGTGCGAGTGGATGACCCAGACGACATGGGAGAAAGGATGAAGGAGAGACCAGCCCTGGATGCTCAAGGCAGCATCTACGTGATTAACCCCAAGCTGGGGCGCAGCAGCTCTCCTGGAGGCGATTCAGATGATGGCTCCCTGAATGAGCAAGGCCAGGAGATAGCTGTCCAGGTGTCTGTCCACCTTCAGTCAGAGACCAAGAGTATCGGGACGGAGTCTCAGGACAGCGGTCACCTCAGCGTGCCTGACCACCCTGCACCTGCCGAGGGCAGTGCTCACCTCAGAGAGGGGACGTCTGAAGACTGAAGCCACTCGCACGCCAGCCCCTACAGGAACAGCTCAGGAAAAGGACCTGCTTCCGGACATACAGCATCTTTACCAGCAGATGCCCAGGGTCCTCCCCTGGGCAAAACCTTGTGAACAGGCAGCACTGTCCTCGTGGCCATGTCCTCTTCCCTGAGGCTGATGAAGCGACGATGTTAAGATTTAAAGGCCTGAGTGACAAGCACGTGGGAAACGAGTCCTGGGCTTTTCACGGTTCTTCTGCAGCTCACGTGTGACGCTTACCTTGAGGCCCAAGTTTTCCCAATAGGATGAGGAATTTTCCCTGGATGGAAAGTTGTGTCCGGCTCCACACTTCTACCTGTCCTCTTCAAGGCAGCCTTTCCCTAGACTTCTGCTCCCTCTTTTGGGAAGCGGCCATGGCTTTGTTGTGTACTCCAGATGTCTACACCAATGCCCAGGCTCACAGAGGTGTGGACGGATTTCAGATACTCTGCCATGGGGAGTAAACAGTGACATCCATTAGGCTCACCCGTGCGACAGTAAATTGCTTGTTAGAAAACCTTCCCATGAGTTGGTTCTTGGGAGTACACAGTGTCTTTGTAGCTTACTGAGACATTTAGTTCTGGGCTGGGCCATGATTTCCCAGGTCCTCGGTGTTTTTAGAACAAGAATGTTGTCAAATCATCTCTGGCAAGTCATGGATTCTCATTTTTAATTAATAATGTCTCAGGCTTTCTCTTTTTAAAAATACCGAATTCCACAGTTGGGGTCTCTGGGTCCCAGCTGCAGTTTCCTGAGACCTCAGTTGACACTCCTGCCCTCTGTGGTCTTCAGCATGGTGCTACAGGCTGCGTTGGTACTCTGGTCGCTGTTATTCTGTGTTCTGCACAAGGGCTGCTCTATGGCCTTCCTGAGAAGCACTCACCTGCAGTCAGATGAGCTCATTGTGTTGTGTGTGTTACTGCATTAGAGCACAGGTAATCAAGACATAAAGAAGGGAAAGTGACAGGTGGGGCCTCCCAGCTCGGCCGTGGGTGAGGACCACTGGCGATGGCTGTTCCGCCCGGCTGGCATCTAACCTGATGGAGCTGTGACGACTCCTCACAGTGACTTCCTCGGCTCCAGGAGGCCTGGTGCTGTAGAGGCCAAGAACCGGGCAGTGGTGCTTAGCCTACACTTCACCGTCACCATTTGTTGCTGATGAGTGAAGCACTAGTTGAGCTAGAGGAGGTTTTAGTTGGCGTTTTAACTGCAGCTTTCAAACAAAGGGAGACAGGAAACAAAGTAAGTAGTAAACCCAGTGCCCGCCTTCCCAGGCTTGTCAGACTGCGTCTGCCCTGGACAGCACGCACACCGTGTGCAGGACAGATGGACGTGGATAAGGTGTGAGTGCTGCCTTTTCTCTCTCAGGCTGTTTCCATGGAAACCCCCAGTGCCAAACAAAGGCTACCAGTCATTTAACCGGAGCTCGCCTTGGCTTGGAGACACGTACTCCTTTAAGGAAGACTGTTTTCATACATTTGGCTGTGGAGCAAGGGCTTTTGAACATACTGTAAATTACTGAACATGTTTTCCTTTCCTCCAGTGTCCTGGGCTCAGTCTCCTGAACATCCCTCAGGTCTTCTCTCCCCTCCTCGGTATAGCAAGGCTGCAGTCACTGCGAATGTACAGCTTGTTAAAGACTGCTCTTACCCCACATGTTCATAGGCAGGACATTAGTATTTCGAACTTTAGCTGTATTTAATGCAAAAATAGAAAAACTTAGATAAGTTTCCATAATTCACTTAGGCTGTGCCATTGTACCCTTGGTAAGTCATTTTAGAAACATAACAACAGGTGCTGGGTGTGGTGCCACACACCTGTGCTGTGATCCCAGCACTGGAGGCTGAGGCAGGAGGATTGCAAGTTCCAAGCCAGCCTGGACTGCACAACAAGACCCTGTCTCAAAAAATAAATAAGGCCTGGGATGTAGTTCATGGTGGCATATTTGTCCAAGTGGCACAAAGCCCAGGGTTTGATCCCAGCCACCAGGGGACACCTGATTGGTGGCCAGAGTAACTGCCCCGCTTTGAGCCTTCCAGGCTGAGTTCCCATTGGGTAGGTCAGAACTCAGTTGATAGCAGTTTGTAAAGATAGTTTCCAAAAGAAAACCACAGCTCTTACTCTGCATCTGATCAGATATGCCGCATGTGCTTAACAGTGTTCTCTCTGTAAAGTCCTTCACCTTTGAAACTTATACAGCCTGAAAGTCTTTTGACGCCAACTGATGGAATTATCTTTCTATCTGGCTGAATTTTATAGGTCAGTAAAAAAAAAAATGCCTTTGTGCAACAAAATATGTCTGAAATAAGTCTATCACTGTATTCGTAAATTTTGTAATTGTCATTACATGAACTTTATTGTCCTTATGAAGTTAGTTAATAGCTCTCTAAAATAAATTTACCACGGGCTGGAGAGACGGCTCCGTGGTGAAGAACACTCGTTTGAACTCATCTTGCAGAAGACCCGAGTTTGAATCCCAGCACCCACACGGCAGCTAACAACTGTCCATAACTCCAGTTCCAGGGGATCTGACAGCCTCTTCTGACCTCCATGGGCATTGCATGACACGGGTGCACATACCTACATGCAGGCAACACACACATACACATAAAATAAAAACAATAAAAAAAATTTACCAAAAGTCGATGCTTAAATGTCCTCGTAGACTCCTTGTGCACAGGCACTCTGAATCCTTGTGCACAGGCACTCTGAATTCTTGCCAGTCTCCACCTGTGCCCTAGGCGGCTCGGTAACTCCCTGTCCTTGGTTGTATCTGTTACAGTGGCTGAAATACTTTTTTTTTTTTTGTCTTTTTTGAGACAGGGTCTCCTTGTAGCCCGAGCTGTCCTGGAACTCACTATGTAGATCAGGCTGGCCTCGAACTCACAGAGATCCGCCTGCCTCTGCCTCCCAAGTGCTGGGATTAAAGGCATGCACCACCATGCCCAGTCTGAAATACTTTTTTAAGGCTTCAAATTTGTGATCCTCCAGTCTCAGCCTCCCCCTCTCAAGTGCTAGGACCGCAGGTGTACACCCCCATGCCTGGCTTTCCCACTCAGTTCTGAAGTCAGGCCAGTGAGTGTGTCCTATTTCCTACCTGTTGCCTTGCTATAGAGGTCTTCAGAACTGCTGGCTGGAAGGGTTGTGAGAAGGCTCCTGCTGCTTCCCTGACTGCCCTTGTGCTTCAGGTCAAATCCCCATCTGCATGTTGTGAGCCAGCCCTTGATAGACCCTGCATGTGGCTACACCCAGTTCCTATTCTGACCCAGGAGACTGCCCACTTATCTAGAGCCCCGCCTTTCAGCCCTTCACAGCAGCTGCGTCCCCACACCTGCCCTGGTGACTATTTATTCCCAGAGTGTCTTCCTACCCAGGCCAGAAGGGTGAAAATGCTCAACCCACAGAAACACTGAGTCCACATTGGCCTGTTTTACAAAAGGAAATGAGCATGATTTGATATGATTTGTGTTCAAATGGTATTTTAATGACTTGCATTATAATGCCTTTTTTAAGAAGTTCATACTTGAACGTAATGCATTAAAGTTAATTTACCTAAATCTACAGCGTCTACTTCATTTTCCTGTGTGATGGAGTTTGGTCTTCATGATTGTAAACAGAAGTGAATTTGCATTCAGTGTGATGACTGCAGTGTAACACACCTTTCCTAATCTCTGTGTCAGCGAGGAAGGAAGACCAGCCCGTCACCCACCTGGGCCAGTTCCCACCTGGGAAGAACATGTCTGGCAGAGGCCGGGGATCAGCGTTTCCCATGTGTGTAAAGTGTGTGAGCTTCAGCAGCTGGGGTTAGTGCTGGGAGATAGCAGGCATGGTGTGCGTGCTGCCGTGGTGTGCGTGCTGCCGTGGTGTGCGTGTGGCCGGTGTGGTGTGCGTGTGGCCGGTGTGGTGTGAGTGCTGCCGTGGTGTGCGTGTGGCCGGTGTGGTGTGCGTGTGGCCGGTGTGGTGTGAGTGCTGCCGTGGTGTGCGTGTGGCCGGTGTGGTGTGCGTGTGGCCAGTGTGGTGTGCGTGCTGCCGTGGTGTGCGTGCTGCCGTGGTGTGCGTGCTGCCGCAGTGGAAAGCAGAGTGAGCAGAAGGGGGTTAGTGGGAGGTGCTGGGTTCTTCAGTGGCACAGACAATGAAAACCCAGCCCTGACTCTGGCAAAAGTCACTGGACATGGAGGTCCTATGCCACCAGCTTTGTAGCTGAGCACAAGTATGTGGGATTTGATGGTAATGACTTTAAAGAGGTTAAACTTACATTCATCGTGGGACTCTACCACATACCTCAGTATGACGGAGTTGACAGTTGACAGGACCTCCTGGTAGAATTTGCACGGGGGTGCGCATGGAAAACACTGTGACTTAGCATGTATAGCATGAGGGCTGGCTCTGCAGCCAGGACGTCTGCTCTGTTGGCCCTAGGGAACTGATGAAGTCAGCCACAAGCCTGTCCCGCCTCCTTTATGCATTAGGTGGTGCCCTACCGAAACAAGATCGTTTTCCTCAGGTGGGTCCAGACATAGGCATTCCAGGGCCGGGGCGAGGCTGGAGGACTTCTTAGCCTGGGCTTTCATTCTCACGGTCACAGAATGTCATAGGTTGGGTGGTCCCAGGAGTTCCCAAAACATGGGTTCTTGTGCAAGTAATTTATTATGGAGATGATTCCAGATAGATGGGGACGTGAGACCGGAGGCCTTGCGAGGTAAGTTATCGCTAGGGACACTTACCTGGGGACCTCTCACAACTAGAATTGTGCCACCCAAATTTGGGTGGGTCAAAAAGCTGGGTGTGTTATTAGTTAAAGGCTGTTCCCAGTCACTAGCACCCTGGAGTTTGAACCTGCCCAGCCCTTCAGCAAGGGGAAGCTCTGAGCAGAGACAGAGAAGGTAGGTAAGGAAGGGTGAGTGGGAGGGATTTATAGGCAGAGAGCCTGCTGCTAGGCCAACCCTCCCAGCTGCATCCCAGGCAGGAGCAGGGTAGACAGCCAAGGGGTAAGAGACAGAAGCAGAGTCCGCTTTTTTAAAAAACAGTTATGTGTACGAGGGCTTTGTCTGCATGTATGTAAATACACCTGTGTTGTTCAATGACCGCAGAGGACAGAAGAGCGAGTCAGATCCCCTGGCACTGGAGTTACAGGCAGTTGTTAACCACCAGGTGGGTGCTGGGAACCAAACCTGGGTCCTCTGCAAGAGCAGCCAGTGCTCCTAATCACTAAGCCATCTCTCCAGTCCCAGAGTCGGCTTCTCTAGCAAGAAAGCTGAAGCCTTCCCGAAGCCTCACCCACTTGTACTCAGAGCTGGGCTCTGTGGAGCATTAGTGACATTGCTCCTCACTGTGACCAAATACCTGGTAGAAGCCACCCAAGGGAGGAAGGGCTTTATCCACTCTTGGCCTGAGGCAGAGCTTGCTCAGATCTGGAAGCAGAGAATTGAATGGTGGCGCCTAGCTATCCCTCTCCCTTCTCTTTCCCAGCCAAACCCCAAGCCCATGAGCTGATGCCACCCTCAGTGTGAGTCTGACCCCCTCAGTAAATCCTCTCTAGAGACACCCTTGCACACACCCTGAGATGTGCCTCCTCTGTCTCCTAGGTAATCCTAAATCCAGTCAAGGAGTTGACAAGATGAACCATCACTGCAGACTTTAGAAAGCCTGAGATGAGAGCCAGCAAGGTGGCTCAGTGGGTCAAGGTGCTTGCTGGCAAGCCTGACAACCTGAGTCCGAGCTCCAGAATGCACATTGGAGAGAAACCACTCCCACAAGTTGTCCTCTGACCTCCAAACTTACTGTGTACAGAGAGAGAACATGATTCTTAGGGATGGAAGAACGGGATTTGTAGAGCGCGGTAGTGTACAGCAAGGACCTTCCCGTGAATCACAGGAGCAAATGTGGGGTGGTGGTGGCTAAGTCCCCACATCCCACCTCTTGAAGCCGGCAGAACCACAGCAAGGTGGCCTGCTGGAGAAAAGAAGGAGCAGGCCCGGGGGGGTGGGAGTCAGGGGAGACAGCAAGCAGGGACCAGGAATAGAGGGAGGAGAACCCCAACCTCTTTAGGGCTGCTGCTAGTAAGGAAATACTAAAAATGGCAGATCTGGAAAAGAGGGAGATTTGACCACTCAGTAATACCATTCCAGTTTTTGGTGTTTTGTTTTTTTCTTGAAGTCACTTGCAGTTTAAAGACAACGGTACTGGGGCTGGACAGGTGGCTCAGCGGTTAAGAGCACTGGCTGCTCTTACAGAGGACCCAGGTTCGACTCCCAGCACCCACATGGCAGCTAACAATGGTCCCTAACACCAGTTCCAGGGGAATCTGAAACCCTCTTCTTATCTCTGCAGGCATTGCACAACATAGGTGCACTTATACACATGCAGGCAATACGCTCATACACATAAAAATAGAATATTAATAAAGGACAACTGCACTGATTTTCTTTCTTTAAGGAATTTAACTCCTCCAGAGCCCCTTAAATTCGTCATGCTCTTGAGGTTTCGTGTTTTTGCTGGACCCTATCAATGAGGCAATGTACATATGTAAATACACACATCGCCCATCTGCTGGAGGATCTGGGGCTCGGCACCGTGATTGTTCTCCCTGACGGTTGGGAACATTACTGTGCCTTCCATTCAGCTGTACAGGAGCTCAAGCATCTGTCCTAAGTGTTCATAAATCAGCCCTCAAGGGCCTTCTTCCGTGGGAATGTTCGGGGTCCGAAGAATTCCCTGAATTGACCACTCGGAAACAGAGACTCAGGAAAACTTAGCTGCTTTATTGAAACCGACCAGCCAGGGACGCAGGCAGGCTCGGGAGCTGCACTGCGACCCAGAGCTGTGGAAACGAAGGGCTTTTAAGCATAAAAACTGCAGAGCAGGGGATTTCTATAGAAACCATAAACAGAAGAACCAGGAAAGGATTTGAACAATCTAGGGCTGATTTCCAGAGCCTTAACCTATACAGCCATTGGCTAGCTTACCTGGGGCAGACCGTTCTTCCTCTTCTGCCCCATAGAAACCATAAACAGATGTACCAGGAAAAGGTTTGAACAGTCTAGGGGATTTCCAGAGTCAGGCGGAGGGCAGCTCTTTCTCAGAGGACAGGGAGGGGGTCTGAGGGGCACTCTCCTTCAGGAAGGGCCACCATCTGGGAAGTGTCCCTAAGCAAAAGGGCAGGGCATGGAGCTGTTGAATTTCATTGCTCTTCCAGAGACCTCAGTCAGACCTGGGCTGATGTCCCCTAGCACAGCTCCCAGCACCTGAACACCTATAGCCCCTTATGTATTGTTTTTTGGAAGGTGTGGGGTTCAAGGAGGACACTGAGGTGGCTTGTAGGGCGTAAGAAGTTTATAAAAGAGCCA